GAGAGAGAGACAGCGTGAGCAGGGGAGGGTCAGAGAGAGAGGGAGACACAGACTCTGAAATAGGCTCCAGGCTCTGAGCTGGCAGTCAACACAGAGCCCGATGCGGGGCTTGAACCCGCGAACTGCGAGATCATGACCTAAGCGAAAGTCAGACGCTTAACCGACTAAGCCACCCAGGCGCCCCTATTTCTTAATGAAAAAAAAAACACATTTCTACAAAATTACTTCCATAGAATAGCCTTACAAATAAAATAAAAACAGCCTTTAATAGCTTTTAGTACTATTACTTGTTTTCTTAGTAATCAGCAATATAAACAAATAAAAAGCTTAAGCTTACTTAACATAATGCAAAAACAAATGAATCCAATCCTCAGATCTTTGGTAATAGGTTATCAAACAAACAAGCCTCATACAAAAGTACCAAGTCACAAATACATTTCCAAACTATTAATTCATTCACCAAATATGTATTGAGCATGTATTATGTGCAGGTACGGTTCTAGGTGTTGGGAACATGGCAGTGAAGAAAACCTGCATCCCTTTGGGAATTTACATTCTGGTATAGTGGACCTATATATATATAAAAGCTTCATGTTAAATCTTTTACTCTTTGTGTTTACAGCTTTTTAATATGAACATCTGTCAGTGTTCCCTCAGAAGCTATAGAAGACATGCATCAGTGTTTTAAATTCAACAGAAAAAATCTGGCTCAGTTTAGTTATTTACAACTACACATTTTAAAATTACAAAGTGTACCATTTGAGTCTCAAGTAATACTAGCTGCATATTTCTTAGATAATGTCCACTAAGATAAGCAACTTGAGTCTGTGAGAGCACTTCTATTCTTAAATATAATGGTTTACTGTCCTTTGAAGGCAAAGTACATTGAAAGGTTTTTCACATATTCCCCAAATACACATTGAAAGCAGCATGAACAAACGAATAACTTATCTGACCAGTTCCAAGAAGGTTCTGATTTGGCAATTAAAATCAGAAGGAATAAATAACATCAAAAATACATCCACAGCCAACATAATCTGATCACAATCCCCAAGTAACTGATTTTTGATGAATGTTACCTTTAAAATACACTTTTCCTGGATAAAGTTTTTAAACACAGAATAAACTACTAGGACAGAAAGGAACCTGTGTAAAAAACATGAAACATTGTTTCACATGATGAAAATATCAGATACTGAAATTCATAGAAGGGGAATCAAATTCTACTTTTTTTTTTTTTTATATTTTTTATTTATTTCTAGGAGAGAGAAAGAGCGAGAGCGTGAGCAGGGGAGGGTCAGAGAGAGAGGGAATCACAGACTGAAACAGGCTCCAGGCTCTGAGCTGGCTGTCAGCACAGAGCCCGACGCGGGGCCAGAACCCACGAACCGCGAGATCATGACCTAAGCGAAAGTCGGACGCTTAACCGACTAAGCCACCCAGGCGCCCCTCAAATTCTACTTTTAAAAGATTAAAAACTAAAAAAGATTAAAAACTAAGCTATTTCAAAAAACTCTAGAAAAGTTCTATCAAAAAGGAGAAATATTTTGTACAACAGTCACATTTTTTTTTTTTAATGTTTATTTGTGAAAGAGAGAGAGAGAGAGTGCGAGCGGAGGTGGAGCAGAGAGAGAGACCCAGAATCTGAAGCTGGCTCCAGGCTCCAACTCATGGACTGCGAGATCATGACCTGAGCTTAAGTCGGACGCTTAACAAACTGAACCTCTCAGGCACCCCCAGTAGTCACATTCTAATTAAGCCTGTAAGTAAAAATTTAATATACTGAGTTTCCTTTATGTGAAACATATCAGATTTTTAAAGTTGCCTTTAGTTTACGGTTTAAAGAGTACGAAGCCAAGGTCAGTTATCCCTGTGGGGTTTGTTTAGCTTTGCACCCAACACGCAGGGCAGAGTAAATTTTAGGGTTATGTGCATTATATCACAGAAAAGGTATTAGGACAGACTCAGAGCAATAGATGCAGCAAAAGTCCCCCCAGAAGATAGTACCAAATCCTGTGACAGGAGAAAGAAATTATGATTCAAGATTCCAGGAAAAAGAGGTTAAGTAGCCATATAATCTATCACATTATTAAGTCATATGTTATATTCTCGGTTTAGTATCTTAGACCCATGCAGTTTTATAGATCTCTAATAAGTTTTAAATCATAAAGTTTTTAATATAGAAATCTTACTTTGAAGCTATCGGTAGAGAGCTATTTAAACTTTACTGAGTCTCAGAAAATATAAAAAGTGTTCAGCTAATTTTTTCCAAATCTGTAAATTAAAAGAAGCGGGGGGGGGGGGGGGGGAGGGAAAAAATGACCTATAATGCCCTCTTCAAAAACGACTAATTAAAAAAAATTAACAGTGATAAATCTTCCTTCTATTAAGTGGTTCTGGTTAATGTTTAAGTTTTGAAGCCACCTTTGCCCTGGACTCAGTTAACATGATATGATACAGTTCACCAAAAAAATTACTCACTAGTACTTACTACATAATCACCCCTATGGCAGACTAACAGTTCCTGTGTCCTACTGACAAGTATACTCACCAATCAGTATTTTCCTTTGCCAGGTTTAATTTCTACCTTGTATCTACTGCCCCTCCATCCCAATATTATTCCTTTTGTTTACTTCTTAGCCCAAATCGATTTTTTAAAAATGTTTATTTGTTTACTTTTGAGAGAGAACAATGGGGAGATGGGGTGGGGAGAGACAGAAAGGGAGACACAGAATCCCAGGCAGGCTCCAGGCTCTGATCTGTCAGCACAGATCCCTGGGAGGGACTTGAATTCACAAACCCTGAGATTGTGACCTGAGCAGATGCTTAATGGATGCTTAACCAACTGATCGAGCCACACAGGCGCCTCAGCCCAAAGAGATTTTTAAAATCTCAGTGGCTAAGAAATAAAATTCAAAGAAGTCTGAAAGCATGAGATTCCAAATGATTTCAAAAATCAAATGATCTATGGCTCCTAATGTTGCCCTGAAATGAATACTAAATACAACACTGCAACACTCTAAGCCCAATGAATGGTTATGAGAAATTCAAGATTTAGCTTTATTAAAGACAGAGATAAGGGGTTTAAAAAAAATCCTAAGTTGTATTGAAAGAAAAAAGAACCTATAAAACTTGAGATCAAGGATTCTTACTTTCACATGGAACTGTTAAACGAATGTGGAAAACTAATGCAGATCACTAGTCCTTCTTCAAAGAGAAAGATGATTTTTCTAAATTTCTAAATAAGGCTGTTTCAACCTATCACCTCCTCGTAAAGAGTGAATATACATCGTCGCTTCGAGATGTCAGCACATAGCTGTAAAAAGAGGTTTTTTAACTGAATATACCAGCATACTAAGCAACTGCCATCAGGAATGCTGTCATTCAATAGCACTGAAGGACAAGTCTTACATTCACGTGTGAAGGAACTGAAAGGTTGAGTACTTACTGCGCTACACTACTCCTTTCATGTTCGCGATTAAAACTCTGAAACACCAATGACACCCTCTCTGAACCTCTACTGTTTAAAGAAATATCAAGGTTTATATGCTGGTATTCTGAATTTGACAAGGTTTTAAAAATAAGAACATCAACAGAAACACAATCCATGCATTTCCAGGGAAAAAACAAGAACACAGGCAACAAGCCAGGCATTTCTTCATTATTTACGTTTGTCTATTACAGTGTAAAAAGGAGTTTTAATTCTTTGTAAGATTTGTAAATTACTCAAGAACTTCATCTAATTTAAAGTAAAACAAAAACACCAAAAAGGAAGGGAAAAAAAAGAACGAGGCCAATCATCCTTTACTATTTCTGTAATGATGAATAAAGAGTTGAAAAGCAGCTGTACAGAGAACTGTATACTTTATTCACAAGGAGATAGTTCAGTTTTACTATCAATGTCTCTTTAACCTTGATCTTTCCCACAAGACCAACTCGGCAAATATGAAGGTGTAGTCGGTAGTTGGTAAGGCTACACCCACAATTAGCGTACCTATACATTTGGTCGTTTTTTAATGATTATCAGCACAGCTGTTGAAATAGGGCTGCACCGGTTTACTGCATGCTTTTCTTACAAAAACTTCCAGCCTATCATTTTGGAAGAAGTAAAAACGCTAGGCATCAAGGGAACATCAAACACACACACAAACACACGCACAGAAAAATGCCAAAGGCTTGGTACCGTATGCCATTATTTTTACTAAACTAATTCCCACAGGAAACAAGACTATCAAGTGAAAGGAGCAGGTTCTAATCCTGATGCTCCGACTCCAAACCCTGGTCTCTTTAAGCAAAACCAATATGTAAATGTTAGCTACAGCAGTTAAATTGGTAACAGCTAAGCGTTAATTACACCTGCGCTGCCCCAGGCTTGGTACTCGGACCCACGTAGAAGAGCCTTCCCCATGTTATAAGTTTGATAAACAAATCTGAAATATCCTTACCAGCCAAGGTTTATCAAATGCCTTGATGTCCTTGAAAAAAAAGCAACATAAAAAACAAGAATAGTATTTTTCATGTCCAACATCCAAAAAAAGAAATATTTAAGTTACTTAAAATCAAGTACAAGACGGCAGAAAGTCGCCACAACAGTAAACATAAAACACACAGTCAACTTGGAGACGAAAAGAGAAACAGGCGATCGGGACTATGAAAAATCGCCAGGCAGGTGGGGCTTAGGGGCAGTTCGCACTGGGAGACCAGGCAATCGGCCCAAATTCGACTGCTCTCCGGGCACCACTCAGGAGGCGCGGCTCCAGGACCCCCGCCCATCTCTGGGCCGCCGTCTCTCCAAGTGGGCCCGGGACCCAGGCAAAAAGACAAGGGACAGGAAGGGACACCTAACTCTGTCCCGCTAGCGCTCTCCTGCCTCCACTGTCCCCGACAGAGGCCAGGGCGGACGGCCGACCCGGGACGCGCAGACCGCGGGGGACGTGGGCAGTCCCGCCGCGCCGCCACCACGACTCCGGGTCCGCTTCGGGCACCCGTCAAACACTCACCCCACTTCTCCGAGCCTCAGGCCGCACCCCTACCGAGGCCGCTGCAGCTCTGGCTCAGGACCTAATTTCTCCATAGCGGGGACCGGCAGACCAGGAGGTGCGAGGAGACAGAGAAAAGGGACAAGATCGACACCGCGGTCCCTCCTTCTCGGCTTCCTCAAACCCCCGCGGAGCTGACACATCAACAAAGATGGCGGCGACGCTAAAGCCGGCCCCACTACAGCTGAGGAGGCGGGGCTTCCTGGAGGAGCCAATCAGCGATGCGCACGGGGTGTGACGCGACGCACCTCGGGGCGAGGGTAACCTGTCTGCAGTGGGCGGGGCCGGGGCAGCCCCGCCTCCTGCGCTCGCAGCGCGGACACCCGCGCCCAGACTCTGGGCACCTACGCCCCAACCGGCCCGGCTAGCTGGCGATGCTGCTACCCCCGTCTTGTGTCTCGCGCCACTCCTGACCCAAGCCTGTTCTTTCTTTCTGTAGGACGCGCTCATAGGATATAAGCCCACCTCACCTTTTGACCCTACTCGTATTAGTCAGGAGCATAAAGCAATAAAAGAGAATTCGAAATTGTGACTTCCCAGCTCTGATGCGGAAACCTTGCACCTGGCGTAGGGAGGAATCAGCAGGAACAGCCTACCTACCCGTCGACAATTCATCCCTGGGAGAGATTCTGGGGGTTTCCAGAACACTGCGTTCGTGGGTACAGGGTGGCACTCGTTGCCATTGTTTAATAATAAACTGTTGGAGCGTTCGTCGCTGGCACCAGGCAGGGCGGGAAGTGTCCTATCCGGCCTGCCGGGTGTCCTTATAGCCAACGTGGGGAATGACATGAGGGAGCTGCTCAATAATTAGCAACAAAAAGTGTATTGAATACAGTTGCTTAAACGAGTCCTGATAAGTAAGGTGAATAGTTTCAGTCTGGGGAGGTTTGGAAACCTATACTGTCCAGTGAAGTGATGTCCTTTGGTTTAGGACTCGTTTCACAACTTAGGAGTGAAAATAATTAGTTCTGACAAGTTGTCGATGTGAGAGTTTGGAAGGCAAAGCTTGTTCCTGTTCTCTTAAGCTGCCTTGATACTAACTGCTGGGGGTGGAAATCACTAAAAAATTCAACATTGTGTAACTCTGTTCCTCTTTCCTTTTAACAGGAAATAGCACCTCCTTCCTTGAATGAAACAGTGCAGTGAAACACACTTTGCAGTTAAAGTGTTTTTTTTTTAATGTTTTATTTATTTCTAGGAGAGAGAGAGAGAGACAGCGTGAGCAGGGGAGGGTCAGAGAGGGAGTCACAGACTCCGAAATAGGCTCCTGGCTCTGAGCTGGCAGTCAGCACAGAGCCCGACGTGGGGCTTGAACCCACGAACCGCGAGATCATGACCTAAGCGAAAGGTGGACGCTTAACCGACTAAGCCACTGAGGGGCCCCTAAAGTGTTTTAACAGTGAAGAAATGATTTAACTCTAGTATAGTCCATCAAACTTTCCTAGCGAGGTATATTATTTCAAGGGAAAATAAAAATGTAAGCCTTTTTCACAGCTCATATTATCAGTAATAACATTCATATTGTGGTTTTTGAAATATATTAATACTAAGCATTAAAGTAATTATGTTTCTCAAAACCAAGATTTTTAGTATTGGAGAAAGGAAATACAAGTACATAATCAGAGAAATGAAGAATTCTGCAAACCTAAGTTTGAATTTAGAAATATCAGTATGAACTCATGGTATTGTCTTTTTTGTATTAAAACTCTGTCCACTGAATAGGCCTGAAATAACCACCAATCCAAAGCACACCCCTTTTCTCCATCATTTGTTAATATAATTTCCCACTAAGAGTCACTTGGGTTCCTCGTGGGACTCAAGGACTGTTTCTAAGCCTGGGGCAGGAAAGGTACAAGAAAGTTGAAAACATGCTGGTTGTATCAGAAAGCAAAGAAGAAAGTGAAAATAATAGGAGTTGTGTCAAAGACTAGGGGGCCAAATCAACCGTATGCATACTGGTCAAAGGACAATCAAGCATTTGAAAATGGTAACAACTGATTGAGATACATCTACTATGTCAAAAATTAATGTGTGTTGATTTTTTAAAACATTTGGTCACCTTTGGAGATGCCAAAGAATCATTACATTCTGAAAACTGATAAAAGAATCAAGCATCCTAACTTTCCCGTTACAAACTGAATTTCGATCAAATAGTCGATGTGGGAAAGTTCTTAACAGAATTCTGGATAATAAATGCAGAAGATAGATTTTTGCCATTTTCTGAGGCCTAATGAAATAATGGACCTAGTTGACAATCATCAATGAATCTAGAATCATTAGATGAAAAGCCAGTGGAAAACAATAGTAGATGGATGGGCTGACAACACTTGAACCTGGTAGATCAATTTTAATATCTCGCAAAGAGAAACAACTAGATATTAAGTGTCTTCTGATGTGATGCAATAGGGGAAACACCTGTGAAGTATTCTGACCAGAGGGGATGTACTCAAAATTGAATGTAAAAAAAACTGTCATTAGTTCAATACATAAATTGCAAGAAAATGATTAAGAGGAAATCTCTTTTGGGGCACCTCGGTGGCTCAGTTGGTTAGGTGTCCAACTCTTGACTTTGGCTCTGGTCATGCATGGTCTCATGGTTCATGAGTTCCAGCCCTGTGTTTGGCTCTGCGCTGACAGCACGGAGTCTGCTTAGGATTCTATCCCCCTCCTCTACATTTACCGCCATTTTCTCTTTCTCAAAATAAAATTTTTTAAAAAAGGAAATCTCTTTTTAAAGTACACTACTGAATACAAATACAGGATCTTGTTTGGAACCTCATTTGAACATAAAATTAAAAATCATGTGAGATTCTGAAAACTTTAAATACAGATTTCATATAAAGAAATTATTAGTGTGGTGCCTGGGTGGCTCAGTGCATTAAGCGTCTGATTCTTGCTTTCTTTCTGCTTGAGTCATGATCTCTTGATTCATGGGATTGAGTCCCATATCTCAGTGCTGTGAGTGTGGATCCTGCTTTGGATCCTCTCTCTCCCTCCCTCTCTCTCTCTGCCCCTCTCTCTCTCATGCATGTGCTCTCTCTTAAAATAAATATTTTTAAAAAGAAATTATTAGCTTTAAAGGCAGAATACGTTTTGGTGATGCTTTTCAAAGTTATGATCTTTTGGGGCACCTGGGTGGTTCAGGCAGTTGAGTGTCTGACTTTGGCTTAGGTCATGATCTCACAGTTCGTGGATTTGAGCCCCGTGCCTGGCTCGGTGCTGACAGCTCAGAGCCTAGAGACTTCTTCAGATTCTGTATCTCTCTCTCTCTCTCTCTCTCCCTCCCTCTGCCCCACCCCCACTCTCTCTGTATCTCTTTCTCTTAAAAATAAATAAAAACATTGAAAAATTGTTTAAAAGTTATGATCTTTTAAAGATACATATTTAAATATGTATAGATAAGGAGATGCAATGTCCCAGAAAGTAAACATGATTTAAAAAACCAAATGGGGGGCGCCTGGGTGGCTTAGTCGGTTAAGCATTCGACTTTCGCTCAGGTCATGATCTTGTGGTTCTTTGGTTCGAGCCCCGCATCGGGCTGTGTGCTGACTGCCAGCTCAGAGCCTGGAGCCTATTTCAGAGTCTGTGTCTCCCTCTCTCTCTGACCCTCCCCTGCTCACACTGTCTCTCTCTCTCTCTCCTAGAAATAAATAAAAATATTTAAAAAAATAAAAAATAAAAAACCAAATGAAACAATCGCACATTAATGGGAATATGTCAAAGGATTAAAGAGCCAACTAGAAGGGCTCCCCATGGCCAAAGTTGGAAAAGTTTGAGCAAGGAAATAAGGCAATGTATTACAACTCAACATATAAAATAAATGAGTTTATACTAATACATATATAGTATATTTGATCAAATATATTAATAAATGGGGAAGAGACAAATCTATAAAAAAATTGAAATAATTCCAGTGTTTGGCCCTTAAAAAGGGGAAGAATAACTTCTCTTTCTTAGGTGTAGACTGTGTATAATGACTTCCTTCCAAAGTGTATAATATGCAAAGAGAGGGAAAACAAAAGTCCCTTTAGAGTACAGAAACCTGAAGAACACCAGTCAGGTGTTGGGGGCGCCAGGATGCTATAAAGGTTATGTACAAGAATTGTGTCTTTCCACAATGTCAGCTTTATTCGGTCATAAATCAAGGTTAATGTAATTTGCAAAGCAGATTCAGGATTCTAAACTCAATGAGATTTCACTATGCATTTAACTTCATAGACATCACACGTTGTATGATATAAAGTCATGCAACAAACAAGATACAAGAAGGGTAAGAAGTTAATGAGCAAAACAAAGTCGGTTTGTGAGCACACAGTTAAGATGAGGACTTGGTCGGTTCTGGGCCAGCTCTAGGTACCTACGGCTTAACATGTTCAAAAAGTGGAGGATCTCTATTATGTTAAGAGATCAGTCATGCAGAGCCTTCGGCAGCAGGTGGTCAGATGAGGAAAGCTCAGCCCCCAAAGAGTCTGGCAGTTTGCTGCAGAAATCCTCCCTTTTTAGAGAAGTTTAATCAATCTTGGGCCTTTGCAGATTTTTTCTAGCACTAATGATTATCAGCTCCTGGTTCTTCCAGGCCTTACAGGTTATTAATCCTCAGCACTTCCAATCTATACTGGTTTTGGTGATATCTGGTATTAGCTGCAGTCCTCTTGGCTGCTTTTCTGATTACATCACAACTTGACATGAGGGACTCCATCTTGCTCCCTGCAGGTAGAAAGCATCAACTGTCAGGAATCATGTTCAAGGATGTGCACTTGATGTGATGCAATACGAATGACACTTTACCTCTGTAGCCCTTTTTTCCAAAAACCTATTAACTCCACTCTTCTCATGAGAAAAACATCAAACTCTGACACTGGGGCATCTTACAAAATGCCTAACCAGTAAGTACTCCTGGAAGGTATCAAGATAATCAAAACAGGGACAGTCTGAAAAACTGCCATAACCTAGAAGAGCCTAAGGAGACATGACAACTAAATGTAAAAATGTGGTATCCTGAATGGAATTCTGGTTCAGAAAAAGGACAGTAGGTAAAAACTAAGGAAATATAAATAAACCCTGGACTTGAGTAATAATGTATCAACTTCGGTTCCTTAATTGTAGCTAAGGGGATACTGGGTGTGGTTAATGTGAGAAACTACTAGCTTCTAAATTTATTCTG